TGTCCTGCAGTGCTGTGACACATACCAGAGTTAATCTGTTCTTTGCTTTATGCCCCAGTGTCTCCTTTGCATCACTGTGCTTGTGCTTTTGGACCATTACTTAGTGAAATAAATGTTATTTGAACACAAAACTGTGATACTCAGATAGTTTGATACCTGAGAAGGCTACTAAATGACTGACAGGTAATGCACACAGCATGGATATACTGCACAAAGAGATGATCTTATCATGGGCTGGATGGAGCAGGATGACTGAAACTTTTGTCTCGCTGCTCAGCATCACACAAGTTAAAACTTATGCATTGTTTATTTCTAGAATTTCCCATTTAATATCTTTGGGCCACAGTGGACTGCAGGTAATTGAAACTATGGGAAAAAACCCCAAGTGTAATGGGGGATTAATGAAATGTTTGAAGGCTTGCAAGCTACTGACCCAGAATAGCCCTGTCTATTAACATGTAAACTCTTTTCTAATGTATTAATAATTATTTCTCATGGGCCAGCTACATCCTATCTTATGAGAGGCATTGTGAGAGATGTAAAACAAGTCAGATACATCCCTTCCAACATGGGAAGGAAACAATTTATACACATGAACCTGTAGAGTGAGGGTGGAGAGCCAAATGCTGAACTGTGTGGGTCAGAAGGTGAGTCTGTGAGAAAAGTTTCTACCACAAACTTGAGACCCCATTGTGGGAAAACAAACCTAGGAGGGGGCCTGACTTCTTTTTATATTTTAGAACTGTAACTCACATTGTGTCTCACATATCTGTCTGCTTTTTTTAAAGAACCAAACTGAGAAAATATTTTACATGATTCTTATAATTCTTGTCACTGGGTATTTTTCTGGATGCTAAAACACTTGAACAAAGGGAGAATTCACTCATAGCTATCTGGCTTTTGCTTACTTTGCATGATTGAATTCTAAATTGTTCTTCCAAATATTGGCAGCATACACTGAGCCAGGGCAAATGATTGTGATTCTAATCGTGAGTTAATGAATTTTATGAAAAAATGATCATAGACATATTGCTTCCTATCAGTGTTTAGTGCATGGTGCTTAGCTTAATTTTATTTTAATTAGGACCAGTACATTTCTTTAATGAACACTATGTTAATTCCATTACTTGTTTCATAGGTGTAAATAAGTTTCATTTGTGTTAACATTTGCATCTTTCACACATCAAACTTTTCTTTGAGAAAATTTTCCTTTTGCTTTATATATAGAAAATCTAACTTGTTGGTTCTATCAAAAACTGAATGGAAGTTACACCTGTGAATCTGATGCCTGTTGCTTAGGTTAGATGGACTCATTTGACCTAGGTAAAACTTTGTAGCATTTAACGACCATGCTTTATTTTTAACAGCCGTGATTTAAATATTTTTTTTCAGTAAGATCAGGTACACACCTCTGTTATAGGCTGAATTTTGTCCCCGCCGCCAAATCCATAATTGGAAGGTCTAGTCCCCAGGATTTGAGTGTGTGACTGTACATGCTAGGGTAAAGGGTGACAAAGTTAAAATGGGGCCATTAGGGTGAGCCCTAACCGAGTCTGTCTGGAGTCCTCATAAGAAGAGAAAATCTGGGTCAGCAGGGAGGCACACATCATGCATACGTGCACAGAGGAAAGACCATTGAGCCCAGAGAGAAGGTGCTCATCCACAGTCGGTGAGAGAAGCCTCAATAGAAATCAAACCTGGAAATATTTTAATCTAGGACTTCCAGCTTCTAGAATTGGGGAAAAATAAGTTTTTATTGCTCATATCAAGTCTGTGATATTTTGTCATGGCAGCCACAGGAGGCTGATATAACAGCACTAAAAAATACTACTTCCCTGTAGCATTCTGCAGCAGAGGTGTTTACTACGCACTGACTAGCCAAGTGATTCCCACCAAGTGCCCTATTCACCTGACTTTAGTGAGGGCCATGCACTAGTACCAGTCTGTGCACTGTGCATAGAAGGGTCATGAATTCCTTCCAGACTGACGTAGCAAAATCTGCCTGTGACTCTCCAGTCATCTTCTCTCCCATCATAGTGACCAAGGAGGTCACTGTTCCAGAGGAACTGCACTGCAGTGGAGGTGGTTTCCATCAGCTTGCATCCCTGACAGAATGAATGGCACAAAACCTGCCATCAGGCAGCTCTGGTCATGCCTGTAGGTGAGGAATAGCTCAATACTATATTAAGTCTGGAAATGGGGGTATAATTTATTTGTTTAACTTAACTTTATCATGATCATACAATCTCCATCTTCTTAGTGCTCCTGAGAGTGTAAACTTAGCTAACATCTGGACCCCACTGACTGGCCGATGATCCTTTCCATTGTACTTTCACAATATTCCATAGGTCTGGCTATACTGTCCATGCACAGAGCTGTCAGTTGTTTCCCTGAATAAATGACAACGATGATGGTGGTGGTGATAATAGTGATGGTGGAGTGTTCTAGGCATTGTTCTAATGCCTCATATACAGATAGTCCTCAACTTAGGATGGTTCAACTTACAACTTTTCAACTTTACAACAATGTGAAAGAGAAACACATTTAGTAGAAACCATACTTTGAATTTCCCAGGCTGGTGATACTTGGTACAATTCTCTTTTGTGATGCTGGGATGCTGCAGAAAGTCACAGCTTCCAGTCAGCCTTGTAATCAGAGGGATAACAACCCACACCCTGCAGTGGACCACATTGCTAAGCCAGGCTATTCACTAGGTTAGGTATATTAAGCACACTTTCAAACTACAGTATTTTCAATGTACATTGGTTTTGTTGGGATCTACTCCACTGTAAGTGAAGCATAATCTGTATGTGAGATAATTTAATCTCAGAATTTTATGGGGTAGCTGTTATCATCATCTCCCTTTTTAGGTGAAGGCAGTGAGGCACAGACAGTTTAAGTAATTGCTCACGTTCACACAGCTAGTATACAGCAGAGCTGAAATTTGAACCTTGGCAGTATGGATCTCATTGTTTTCCAGTGAATTCATACAGTAAAGACCCTCTGAGTCTGAATCCCAGTGTTCTTTCTCAGCTGCTTCTTCCATTCTCAACAATCTTTTACTCCTGAGCTCTTCTAACACTTCAGTCTAGTTAGAGTCTAGGTGGTGCCTGTTCTACAGCCAAAGCCTGCACTTGCCAACCTGTCTCAAGCTTGCCCATTAGATTTGCTCTGCTTTCTGTGCCTTCTGTTCCTTGGCCCTTCTGTTCACACCCTATGCACCCCGTGGTGTCCCATCCAATTTCCATCTCTTTGGGAAGCCATGCTCGAAATCTTCTTCATTCAGTACTCCCATGAGTTCTTCTATCTTTCCCTGTGGGTGCTCAAGTGTCACTTATTCGGAGATGTCTCTGCTCTCTCTTGCCTAATGTACAAGCTCCCTCAGCACAAAGACCGTGTTTCTTTGTAGATTTCCTCTGCAACTAACCTTTGCGCCCAATCTTTGTGCTATAAATGTTACTGCAATTAATTGAAGGGAAAGTCTCCTTGAATGCCTTCCTTCTTGGCAGAAGATTAGAGCGTTACCCCTTCTGTGTTTGGACACCATGGCTTAGAATTCCCAGTCATGCTGCGTGAAAATGATGTTGTTAACATCATAATGGTGTTTTTCTGTGTTGCTCTATCTGCATTCACTCCTCTGAGTTTGATGCTGTCATTCTCATCTGTGTCCTGTTAGCAAATTGCTCCTTTGGTCTCTATATTAGAAGAAACTGAATTTCAATTATCTCTTAGCTTTGATTTATTGATTAAGAGCAGTCTTTTATCCTGGTGGTTTTTTCAAGTATGTCATAATACATGTTCCAGTAAGTGGAAAGAAAAGAGAAAGTTAGTGCTCCTGCTTCTCTTTGGCCTTGAAAGTCTCACCTTTGAGCATATTGTGGAGGTTTTGGGGGGCAGGGATAAGCAGAAAGTGAAGGAAGGTGGAATTCAGTAATTTCTGCTACAAGTATTTCTGGTTCAAATGCAGGATAACACTTTGAAATTTGAAAAAGATTGGTCTTCCTAAAGATCTCTGGGTAATTTTCCCTAAGAATGTATTGTGTTACTCATGTTCATATAAAGGCATTCATTTTCTGCGGTATGCTAGTCATCTTCCAGGATCCTTGCCTTCTGAGAACACGTTTTTGAGTTGTCCCACCCACACTAAATAGGGATCCAATGCTGTGTAAACAATAGTGTCTTAGTTACTTTTCTTATTGCTGGGACAAAATACCCGACATAAATTAAAGGAGGAAAGGTTTATTTTGGCTCACAGTTTGTAAAGGTTTCTGTCCAAAGTTGGCTGATTCCATGCAGATCAGCATGGCAGAAGAGAAACAGTTCATGGCATGGCAGGCGGAAGCAGCAGGCACTCAAGGGAGAAGGGAGATAGGTACTATATATGTATATGCCCACAGTGACCTTCCTCTTCCCGCCAGGCCTCACCACCCAACATCATACCCAGCTGTAAACCCATTAGTAGGCTAATCCAGTGTCACACACCCATGATCCAGTATCACACACCCATGATTTATGAGTGCATGAGGTGTTGGGATACTTTAGATATAAACTGTAACAAGTAGATATTGCAGAAGTGGTGGTGTGTGACTTATTCCAAGATGAGCTAAAAAGGACACCACGGTTTTCATCTTGCTCTGCTGGATTGCTTGCCCTCAGGGAAGGCAGTCTCTAGGTTGTGAGGACCTGGAGAGGTCCACGTGGCTGTGAAGTGGTCCACATGGCAGCCAACAGCAGAAACCAAGGTGGCAGTCATATAAGTGGACCATCCTGGAAATAGATTCTCCATCCCCAGTCAAGCTTAAATGACTGGTCCTGGTTCCTTGGTCCTGACTGTAATTCACATAGACTTGGAGCTGAAGTACCCCAGCCAATTTCCTAGCTTAAAGAATCTGTGTGAATAAAAAAAAAAAAAAAAAAGAATCTGTGTGAGATGATAAATGTTTAATTTATCTTTAAGTTTTAGGGTAATTTGCTGTGTTGCAATAAGACACAAATACATGTGGCATGTAAAATTTACTTTTATTGGTTCTTTCTTAATTTTATGTTTCAGTTGTACCAATATTTTTGGCAATACAGAGAGTAGACCTCTCTGGTAGAAGTAAAAATCAGTGATACAAGAGTAAAGATTGCCGTGGTTTGGCCCCATGGACAACAAAGAGAGTTGCCTTGATTTCCTGCTTCAGTTGTGCCTGAACCCCTAGAACTGTCCCAAGAAATGGTCCTTTCATCTGTTCATCGCAAGCCTCTGTTGCGACTCGTAGGGTTCTTGCTGTACCCTGGGAAGGAACAGCACTGAGAATGAGGAAAAGATAGACAAGAGACAAATAGCTAGGATCATGCGGAGAGGAACTGCTAGAAGAACGGTAGAGCCTTTATTTATACCCTTGAGAGACTGATATTAATTTCAGCCTCTCTGCCTAGCAATCAGTTAACAACTTGCAACGGCTTGTTTATGTGCTTCTAGGAGCTCCCGTGTTCTCGGGCTGGCTTCATCCTGCATGTGTAATTACTTTCCAGATTCAGCCATTCCCAACAAGCCTCCTGCTGCTCCCTCCTTTCAGCCATCCTCTGGGGCAAGAGCACCTCTCATGTTGGAGCACTAGAACTACTGCCAGGGTGCAGAAGCACCAATCCCTCTCCAGCTGTTTATGTTTGTCATTGTGGACCAACATGGATGGTCATGCTGTTTATATCTATCATCATGCCTGGCTACTCTGGTGGGATGCTGTGACTTTGAAGAACTTTGTGAAATATTTTATCAATCCTGGGAGGAGAGACAGCACACTGAGAAACTCTTGAAAAATCACAGAAGGGGCCAAATCTCTTAGGACCTTGTTGGCATCAGACCCTGGTGTCTAAGAGAAAGGGCTGTAACAGTGATGTCTGTTTGCAAGATACTGCAGGAGAGAGTACAAATCTCATTATTCCTGCAGTAGTGCAAACCAGCTCCAGACAGCATGATCTGAATGTGCACGTGAATCACCAGAGTTACCTGGCGAGAGACAAGGCCTCAGGTGTTGACAAAGCAGAAGGGCACCTGGCGACAGCCACAGCTACGCTTAAGTCACAGGCTGCTCCATTCTGGCCTTGAATAAGGTAGCTGTACCACTCCTGTCTGTTTCCAAAGCTGCCTCTGTCTCACTTGTCTGAAACACGGATTTCTTCTCTGTCCTCTCTTCTTCTTGCGTTCCCTTCACCTTTACATACTGGCACAATTACACATAAACAGTAAAATTCCTCTTCACACTTCCAAAGAATGCTAATTCATTTGTGGAAATTCTGGATTCTTTTGTAGGCAGAGAATATCTTGCAAAAATTGTAAGGATCAATTCTTTTACTAGATAAAGAGTTCTTTTTACAAAACAAAACATATATATGAACGTACGCATTTTTCCTATAAAATGTTTACAATCACAAATGATCTCTAAGGAAAATATTTGCCAGGAATCTATATAATTTCTAGAGAAAAATGAAAGTTAAAATTTGCATGGTTAAAGCATCCAGTGTTCAAAACCAAAGTGGGTTATTTGGGCAAGAAAATAGATTTTATCCACTTTGATTAAATCAGCAAGATATGACAGTTGCCAAATCTTTGCTTTCCATCTGTCCTGGATAGATTTTTTAAAGGGTATTTTCAGTAATTCCAGTTATAGGGAATACAGCACCTGTCACTATACACACCAGGTCATTAAAGGTTTTAATTTACTGATGCTCACTTTGTTTAAAAGGTTAAACTTGGCAAAGAGAACACTGACAATGCCTTTAGGTGTTCAAAAGAAATCCTAGTAACTTACCTGAGCCTCAGGGTCTAAGGGACCACATGAGGTTTCCAGCTTCTCAGAATTCAGGTCTTCTGAGGATCACAGTCAAACACTGGGCCTGCCCAGGCAGGGAGTTCTCTGCCTCCCAGGGTCTAGGTTAGAAAACCTGCTATTTTGGGCCTGGGAGGTAGGAGTCTGCTGTTTGTCCTCTGTCTCTGTCTTCTCCTCCCTGGCCCCAGGGCTGGTGCTCAGGCCCCCAGGTAACCGGGTAGTTCTGGGAAGGAATGATGTCCAACAGCTTGTTTCTATTCATGGTGTCAATCAGGTGCTTTACAAAGTTGTTCCCGCACCCCCACCCCACCCACAGCCCAACAAGAGCTATTGTGTTATTGAAACTGCAGAGAGCACTTCCTGGGAACGTGGAATTGACCAAACAGAAACCCACAATAAGAGGTATGGGCAAACTCGACAAGTGTTTGCTCCTCTCAGGGCTTCTCAGGAGGCCAATCTTGCAAGCTCTGTTGAGCAGCCAACAGTGAGACTGCCAAGGCAAGGAATGGCTTGGTGCTGTGTGCCCTGAAGTCGATTCTAAACCCCAGTGATGAGCAATCTGCTCCATTTGCAGGATCCTGAGAGACTACTGCTCTGCAGCAGGGCCCCCAAGGCCATTATTGTGACCAGCTCACTGATGAGGCCTGGGCATGAAAGGATGGCTTTGGGAGAAAATATGAAGGGATGGGCCTGTCTTTATTGGTTTCTGCTATGGTTTGAACAGAATTTGTCCCCTACTAGTTCATATGCTTAAAGTTTGGTCCCCAATATGGTAGTGTTGAGAGACAGCAGAACCTTGAAGTGATGGGGCCTACTGAAAGATAATTAGGTCTTGGGGCACTACAACTACATTTGGAAGTGATGATCTTGAGAGGTGGGTTAGTTCTTGGAGAATGAGTTATCACAAAAAGATTAAATGTGACCCCCTCATCCTCTTGCTTCTTGTCTCACCACGTGACTGTGCTCTTTGCTTTTTGTTTTTTTGTCTTTTTGAGACAGGGTCTTGCTATGCAGTTCAGGCTGGCCTTGAACTCACTTTGCAGCCCAGGCTGGTCTCAAACTGTCAACGATCCTCCTGCCTCAGCCTCCCAAGTGCTGGGATTACAGGCGTGTGCTACCACGCCTGGCTTGACTGTGCTCTTGGTTGCAATGCTCCCATCAGCCATGGTGTGACATAGCCAGAAGGCCTTCACAGAGAGCCAAACTGACAGGGCTGCCAAGTCTTGGACTTTCAGTTTCCAAAACTGTGAGCTAAATAAACCTCTCTTTTGTTACCCAGTCTCAGGTATTTTGTTACAGCGGCAGAGAATGGACTAAGACAGTTTCTCTCTGCCAAGTCTTCTCTCCTGTTAAATCTTTTCCCAGTTTTCTAATCCTTTCTTCTCAACATCTTTGTTCCACTGGCCATTCCTTTTCATCATGGCACCCACCTGCCCAGGCACCTGGCTCATCTGAGGCCAGCCTCCTGTTAAGGCACTGGACACTTCACCTTCTCACCTCCTCCAGGCATGCTGTCTGATCAAGTCTTCCCCACTAGTGTGTAATTAGAAAGACCAGAGGCCCCCAGTGCCTTTTTGCTTTTGAGAGACACACATACATCCTAAGATTGGCTCCAGGCTTATATTACATTCACATATCACTGGACCTTAAGAATGACGCTGGGGGGAGGAAGAGCAGCCCTTATGGTGAAGGAGTTCACGGCATGCAACCCAAACGTATGTTGCTCTGGCATATTAACTACTTTGCATAAAAGAGTAGAAAGCAGCAGATACAAATAAAGCACTCTAACTCTCCTAGCCCAAAAGCAGGACATAAAATTCACATGAGAAAGGTATCTGTCTTGCATCAGGGAGAAGAAACATTCTCTTTACCAGAGGTAGGAGGTTGAGGGTGAGAGAAATTCATACTGAGTCTCCCTATACATGTTAATTACTTTCCCACAGTTGCTACTCTGCATTCAACCTAATTTATAAACACTTAGATCTAGTTACTTCTTCAGGTCTTCATTTTTCTCCTTGAGGTTCCCATGTATATGCTAATAAAAATGATATGCTTTCTCCTTCTATCTGTTTCATGTCATCCCTGCTGGAAATCTGTACAGGGCAGAAGAAAATGTTTTCTCTCTTATGTCTTCATGGACAGGGTAGTGAGGATGATACTTGAAAATATTATAGAAACTTCAAAAGGCATTGTATTAGTCTGCTTTCCATTACTATGACAAAATGCCTGAGGCCAGGTACTTATAAATAGAAGAGATTCATTTTGGTTCACAGTGTGGTCAAGGAACAATGGGCCTACATGCTATGTAGTTCAGTTAATGCTGGCCTTGAACTCACAGCAAACCTCCTTCCTCAGCCTTTGCTGGATTATGGGCGTGTGCCATCATACCTGGCTGGTGGTAGCCCTTTTACTGGCCAAATCTCAAGGCAACATAAGGCATCACATGGCAAGAGACAGGGAACATCTGTATGTATGTGTGTGTGTGTGTGTGTGTGTGTGTGTGTGTGTGTGTCTGTGTGTCCCCTAATTGCTCTTTCTCTTCTTATAAGGCCACTTAGTTTCAGTCTTGGGGGCTGTATCCTGATCACCTTATCTAGCACCAATCATCCTTTAAAGGCCTCAATTTTAAATACCATAGGCAGATTAAGTTTCTACCCTCTTAATATCGTTCATAGAGTTTAAATTGTAACACATGAGCCTCTGGGGACATGCTTAAACCACATCAATACCATTGCGAGAACCTTCAGAAACAACAAAGTGGACATCAGCAACTCACAACTAAATTTGGCCCACAGACATTTTTGTTTTGCTGGCAATTGTCTCTTTATTTAGTGCCAACATTTTAAAATTAGGAGATAGCACCTGAAATCTGAATTGTCCTGGAAACCTGAAAACCTGGAACACAGGACCTGAATGGTTCTTGGTGGAAGTGAAGAATGCACCTCTATCTAATACGCACATGAGTCTGCTTCACTCCCTGCCTGGGGCCCTGAGAGCTACAAGTGGGGTGAGGCATTGCTGGGGGAGATGAGAGGCCACCAGGCCAAACACCCTATGGTGTTTGGAGGAAGCCACAGCCATGATTTTCTATTCACAAACCACACGCCTGGTATCAAAAGATAGCAAAAGCTTGCACCTGTATAAAATAAACATGGTTACGCAATGAAGCCGTGTCAACACTTGTCACCGACTCAAAGACTGTGGTGCTCAGGAAGTTCTTTAGAGGCCAAGGACAAGTAAGTGCCGGGAAAGTGAAGAGGTGGGTGGGAACATCAGGGCCAGCCTTGCAGGCATTTCTACCACCAGAATATAATGGTTCCTTTTCTTACACATCCTTGCCCAAATATACCATTTGTCTCTTTGATAACTATCCTAACAGGTATAAGGAGATATCTTTTTGTGGTTTTGATTTGCATTTCCTGATGATTACTGATACTGACAAATTTTTCACATACCTGTTGGCTATTTGTATGTCTTATTTTCAGAAATGTATATTTAGGTGCTTTGCCCATTGTGTAACAGACTTTTTGCTATTGAATTGAACTCCTGATATATATATTATAAAGATTTTATTTTATTTTCAGTGTTGGAGGTTGAACCTAGGGCCTTCACCCTGAACTACATCCCCAGCCACTTATTTATTTATTTATTTAATTTTATTTGGAGACAGGATCTTCCTAAGACACTAAGTTACCCAGTCTGGGCTCAAACTTACAGTCTTCCTACCTCAGCCACCCAAAAGGGTAGGATGACTGGTGTTGCCATCATACCCAGGTCTAAAGTGTTTTATACATTTTTCTCAGCTGTTAAAGGGATTTATCAGTAGACAATTTAGGGAGAAACAGTTTCCTTCAAGTAACAGGACGGAGGAGTACAATTGGACATTTTGTATTTTTCTATTTACTAGACAATCAATTTTTAAATAAACTGTTTAGAACTGTTAGCTTAAACATTCTTATTCCCTCAGGTTTTTAGAAATTAAATTTATGGGTACAAAATTTAGATATACATAACAATGATATGCATCATAGGGAATTTGTACCTGTATATGATATATCTTGATATATAAACAATGATATTCATCATAGGGAATTTGTACCTATATATGATAGATCTTGACACCTTTAGTTCCAATCCACTTCCCCCTCTAACCTCTCTTCTCCTTATTTACAAAGCTTTGTTCCCATTTTATCCTTCTGTTATCATTTTTTTTCCTTTTCAACTCCTTCTTTTCTTTCCTTCTCCCCCCTCCTTAGTTCCTCTTTGTTTTTGAACAATTTTTCCTATTCACAATATCTATTCTACCTTTTGGTCCTTGTTTACCCTTAAAGTTTCTCACACCAGGGAGATGATGTAATATTTACACATGTGTGTCTGATTTATTTCACTTAAGACCATACTCTCAAGGTGCATCTGTTTACCTACAAATGTCTTGTTGATTCTTCTTTATGGCTTAGTAGTCCATTGTATAAAAATACCACATCTTTTTTATCCATTCCTTGGTTTATGGGCATTTGAGTTGTTTCCAGGATTTAGCTATGACAAATTGTCCAGCATAAGCATGGGTGCACATATATTGCTGTGATATGATGTTTTTAATTCTTCTGGGAAAATACCCAGAAGGGGAATAGCTGGATTAAATGGGACCTCTAGTCTTAGTTTTTTGAGCAATCTCCAGACTGATTTCCAAAGTGGTTGCACCACTCTGTGTTGCCACCAACAGTGGAGAAGGGTCCCTTTTTCCCCACAGTCCCTCCAGCACTTGTTATTCATTGTTTTCTTGATGATAGCCTTTCTTTCTGGAGTGAGATGGAATCTCAGTGTTGTTTTAATTTATGTCTCTCAAATGACCAGTGATGTTGAACAGTTTTTCTTATATTTATTTACCATTTGTAGTTTTTCCTCTGAGAAGTGTGTATTCATCTAAGATGCCTATTTTTGAATTGGATTTTTTAATTGGGGGTGGTCTGAGATTTTTCACTTCTTTATTAGGCCTTTTTCTGAGGGCCAACTGGCTAAAATTTTTTCCTACTCTGTGAGTTGTATTTGCACTCTGCTGGTGACTTATTTTGTTGTGAAAAAGGTTTTTAGTAGGATGAGATCCCAGTTGTTGACTCTTTGTATTATTTCCCATTTGAT